TTTCCTGTATTTTACAATGTCTGTCGCGTGGTCGTTTCACACGGTACCCAAACGTCTCACACTCAAGTTTATTAAACGTACGATACAAATAATACCAAGTCTATCACTCATTCATGTGCAGTCTTTGTTTATTAGACAGGATAAGGAACACCAACAGGAAACACAACATACAGAAATAAACTAACAATAAATCTATGTCAATCACCTTTGTTTATTTTGGAATACTGGCACAGGAAAACAACACACACTCAATGTCTCAGAAAAGCAGGGCGGCTTCAATTAGAGTATTTTCAAGGAACCAAATGTTTCTAATTTTGAAATGATACATTGTATCAAAGTAGGGGTGCGGCTTCAAATAGACATGCGGCCTCAATTAGATATTTTACGGTAGTCTGGTCAGGCTACTAAATTTAGAAAGTGGTGGCCTTCTTGGGCAATTGTTGTTAGTCAAATTTTGAGCCTTGTCCTTATTTGATGCCTCTAACTTTAGTATCGGCATCATGGTGGTTGACGATTCACTCCCCATGACTGACCAGGGCTTGACATTAACTTTTAAATTCACCTTCCTGAAATCTATGTTGTCTGTTGAATCAAGTGCATTACTATTCAGTTGTTTGAATGGCATTTTTTACTCGTCTCTGGTTGTACACTTAGTGTTGAGTGCTGCTGGCTGTTTACTTTGCAGTATATTCATGGTCAATTTTGTGTGCCTATCCATTCTACTGACATCTCCGATTAAATGGGGAATGAGGGGGGGGGGGGGGTTCTGTGTGTATTGATTTCTACTGAATAAATTGTTTAAATATATTACATCATTATCTATTTATCGCATTTGTTGGTTTATTTGATTACTGTTATTAGAGTGATATTGGAAACTTTTTTTTTTCATTGTGTAGGTACAAATAGATCATCGTAATCGTTCACTTCGTTTTGGATCTGATCTTGGCATGTCAACCCTGGAACCGGACGAGGAAGTAGATGAAGGTCCTTATTTACAAGCTATGCCGTCGGATCAAATCAGAAACCAATTGACTAAAATGTCTGCAGCTTTAATCAAAGCTGTTGCATACGTCAGTCCAAGTCACAAACAGGTGCGTCATAACAATACATAGCATAGAGTCGTGAAAACATTGCTGCTGTCCGAAAAAACAATCGGATGCATTTTAAGCTCAAATTTGGATGGATACCAAACTAATGGTTGCATAAAATATCAAATAAAGTATGAATGTCTTATAGATGTGGTTAATATTTCACTCAAAATGTACATTGTCTGCTTAACATCTCTGCAGTCTGCTCGAGCCGATCAACGCAAGCAGATAGTGTCAAGTTATATGCGTAATTGTAAGAAGGAACACAGTCGAATACTTGCTAGGAGGCAGATCATTGAAGACAGAAAAGAGCACCTTGAAAGTCTAAATACACAAAGAGTAAGTTGTTTTTATATTAAAGTTTTATATATTATGTTGAGTATATTTCACAGGCAATTTAACCCACAACAAAATCTCTCCCAGGCAAGGTGTCCAATAGTTTGCTGTGTTTTTTTAGTTTATGTTTCTATTATATTTCTTGTTAACAACAACTGATTTAAAATTTTAGAACGTGTGATAGAGGTTGTTTTTAAAAATATTGCATGATGAATTGATATTTTGCTTTCTTGTATTGATTAGGGTTTATATATTGATATGTTTTGGTGTTCATTCTGTATTATAGGAAAAGCAGGAGCAAGACTTACTAGAACAGCAAAAACGTGTTGCCGTGGAAGCAGAGAAACGTAGACTTGAGAAAGAAGCTGAGGAGAGAGAACATAGACGAAGAAAAGAGGAACATAAAATCATTCAACAGAAGCAGACTTTAGAGCGAATTGAGAATTTGAAAAAGACTGCTATTGGTGCTCGTACATTAAAGAAACTTGACTTAGATGTAAGTATTCCAAAGTTTTCAAAAGTATTTCTGATACTCAAGCTAGATAGATTTTTTAAACAAAATTATAAAATTATAAAATTGGTAAAGTTGAATAATGTCTTGTATACAAAAACAATTGCCATAAATGCATGTCATCTCGCAATGTTGTGATTCGATGTGACATGTATATCGTTTGTAGAATATCTTTGTTGGTTTATGCACAAAATTGAACCTTGCTGCAAGAGAATTTCCTGCTAGTGACAAGATTTATTAAAACTAAGGAAAATCTCTATTTGTGTCATTTTGTGATTTTGTTTTGAAAAATATTAATAAGCTTTTCAGCTGGTTGAAAAGCTATTATAGATAGACTTTTTGATCAGTTAGACTGTTTGGTGATAACATGCAAAATTGTTAATTTGTCATTTTCATTTGTACAGAGAAATGATGGCGGTCAAGTTGATCATGTTTATTAATTTAGTAAATTTTTCTTTATTCAAGGAATTGAAAGAGATGGATGCAGATGAAATCATGGCTAAACAAGTTGAGCAGTTGGAGCAAGAGAAAAAAGAACTGCAAACGCGATTGAAAGCACAGGAAAAAAGGGTACGTTAGTGATGGTGATGGAAAGGTTAATGCTCTTGTGGTGGGCTAGGTTGCCTGCATTGTCTGATAAATTAAGTAAGAGTAAAATAATTCAACATTGATATTTTTTCGGTTGTGAATTGATGCTGACATTGGTGTCCAACTTTGAATTTTCAATATCAAAATGTAAAAAGTAGTGAGTTCATATAATAGTGTGTGATAGACAATATTTCCAGGTCATCTTTGTTCAGTACTTTAGTTCTCTCAACAATTCTGCAGGACTTATCAATGAAATGTTGATGAAGAATAGTGCGATTGAGTGGCTCTGCCACATTTGTTCACATTTGAGCATTTTCCTTTCCTAAACTTTCTCCTCTCAATAAAAATAGCTTGTGTGCAATACAAAACAGCTCAATTTTGTTTTTAATCCCTGTTCGAACCTGTGCTTGTCCAAGTGTCCATGCATGCGCCCAGACCTATATCTTAGACATGCCTGGACAGATTGCATTCCAACTTCGCACATACATCATACATAATATTATACATGTGCACATTAATTTGTTCCACAATCTGATTCGAGATGGCCTAATAGTGACCATTTTTGTGCTGAAAAATCATCAAAATCAAGTTTTTCTGGCATTCCGGAGCCGGATCTTGGCTGTTTACAGATAGATTTTGTTCAAACTTGGTACATAATTAGACATTAGTCCTTGATGCACGCCATTTTGTTTTTCAGATCAGATTCAAAAAAGTTAGCTGGTTGCCATTTAATGAATGTGGTTCTAGAACTGCATCTCTGATGTGCTTTAATTGATTGTGTTCAAATTTTATATATTATACAGATGTATTCAAATGGCCGACCAGTGACCATTTTGTTTTAATTAATGCTGTTCCAGAGCAATATCTCAATAAGGACAAGTACCGTATTTGTCTTCAGTTAAGCGCCACCTTCAATTAGGCGCCAGTGCCACAAAAACTTTGTATTTTACACCTCAATTAAGCGCCAGACAAAGTTGAAATTTTGGCACGTAATGATCGTGAATTGGGCGCCGGCGGATCGACTACTGGTTACCGGTTCGTAGCGATGGACGCGATCGCGGAAGTCCCTCGCTGTTACTGTACGAGTGGCTTTTATGTAAAAAAAAAATTGGTTTTGTTTCTAACAATTTTTAAGAAATCGGTCTATAATCTCTTGAAACATGTCTTTTTAGTCTACTTTAGAAAATATCAGCGTGGTTTTTAATTTCGCAGTAAGTCAATAAAAACGAAATTAAAACAACGCGAAAATGTTCTGTTTCAAATGCGCTGTTGTCACAGTAAACAGTGTTAAATTATTCTTTAAATGCTCAGTTTACTTTCCAAAAATAACTAATTTCTTGATTTGAAAAAAAAATCATGCCGTTTTTCCCACCAAAATCAAAGCCAAAATATCGCAAACATCGGCAAATCACTTCCGCATTGCGTTCATACATTATTTAAATGAGCTATGGTAATTTGATCACGTTGGCATCATCCAGCATTTTGATTGGTTAATTAACGACTTGACCTATCAGGTCAAAAAACGCGTTCCAGGTCAAGTCGTAGACAGGAAGCATGGCAGACATCGAATCGCGCCGAGCGTTTACATGCGACCAGAATCATTCGCTTACGATGAAATTAAGTTGAATTTTACTTGCATTTTATTTTTTGTACGTTATTATAACTACTACTGAGTAATAATCGTAACCGTGGAATGCAGCATGACCGGATTTTGCTACCGTGATCATTGACTACTAAGCGTTGAATTTGTGTTTGTTTTATTTTTCTGTTGATTGTACGGCAAACTGTGAATGTTTTCTAAAGAATGATATTTTTTGTATAACTTTCTAAACTGTCTGAAAACGGGTCATTTACTCAGTATTTAAAATAAAGGCTACAGTGACTAAGCGTCAGACTGTAATGTAAAATATTGTCAATAATCTATCACCAGAATGGAGCAAAAACAATGGCTTGTAACACAGTTACCGGTACTAGAACTTGAAGTGCTTGAAATAAGCGCCATTTGAAACAAAGTTGCTCAAATTTAACCACAAATAAGCGCCACCATGACATGAAAGTGTAACAAAGTGGCGCCTAATTGAAGACAAATACGGTACTCATTACAAGATGACTGATTGTCAATCATATTAATGTTAAAAAATCATCATAATCAAGCATCAGCTTATGGATCCATACTCTGACATGTTTATATTCCTACTATATTACTGTTAACTATATATCTTAAATTTGATAACTAACGGGGACTGTGCCATGCTTGGCTTGTTAATTTTTTGGCCACACTCGTTGTCCTTGTATAGAAGTATCTTGTAACAAAAACTTCATTCTATGTGTGAAACTACACAACATTAATTTATTGTACCCTAAAAGTCGTAACTTATTCTTGTATTTTACTGTACAGATTGATTACTTTGCCCGTGCACAGCGACTTGAAGAGATCCCGCTTCTTAAAAAAGATTATGAAGAGTTTGCCTTGATGGACAGAGAAACCTGGGATAATGAAGAAGAGAAGAGAGTAAGTACATTTTGTTTATAACCTTTTGAACCTAGGGACTGTTTGTCCCTGTTTATCCTTTATGTTGACTGATGTGATTGAAGCTTGGAATAAAAGTATGACCGGATAGTGCACATATGCTATTTTGTTTTGCACCTGTGTATTAATTTAGTTGCTCGTTTTTGATGTCCATTTCTAGGACTTTTTCAAATTGCTTTAAATTTTTTTATGAGCATGGTTATACAAGTTTAATTTTATTGTAGATCCAGAATTTGAAAGAAGAGCGGGAAATGTCCAAGTTGGAGCGAAATCGTTTGGCCTTTATGGCAGTTGATAAAGACGAATTCCTAAATGGTTTGACCCAAGCCAGAATGTCTGTCTATAAGGTACTAAAATTATATGTTTGAGTATTGACTCTTAACTTTTACAAATGATCACTGTCTAAGATACTAATTTCAGAAATTTATTTTTTTAGGAAAAACTAGAAAACTTCAAGACTATGTACGAGGAAGAAAGGAAAGTACGACTGGAAGAGCGGAAAGACAGGCGTAAAGAAGAACGCCGACAGAAGTGGTTAAAAGAAAAGGAAGAGGAGGAGCAGCGTAAACGTGATGAGGAAATGAAAAGAGGTATTTGTAAAAATTAGTGAATCAAAATGTGAAGTGTAATTTTTTCTGCCTTTTTCAAATCAGCCTGGGATTTTATTTTGCTTATATATAATTGCAATATTATCTTGGAACTTTTATACAGGACATTGAGAATTGATACAGTTTGTGTCCTGTATTTGATGAATATTAATATTTTATGTAATTATGATTTGTTTTTGGACAGAATTGTTTCCAAATATGGCATAGATTATTGCATTTTATACTCATTTTTGCCATGTAAAGAAAAGATCGTGCATCATTGGTTTGTATTCATCCATTTATTTGTTATTTAATTTAGATTTTCAGTGGACAAGGTTGAAATAGTTGTGCTATGTTTTTTGCAGAAAGGGAACGAGAAGAAGAGGAGAAACGAGCCAAACAGGAGGAAGAAGAGGAAGAATACAGAGACAGACTTGCTAAATTGGAGGAACAAGCTGCTAAACAGAGAGCAAGGTGAGATTCATTTTGGCTCAGATATGTACATAACAATTAGGTAATTTGCATAATCTGTAATTTTTTTCAAAATACATGTACCTCTGTGATAGATAACATATACATTTTTGTCTAGTTGCAATTTGTCTTCAAATTTGCTAAATTCTCCTACTTAAATGTCAGAATCGTTTCTCAGTGTTGAAGAGGGTGATTTCATTCCAGCTGCTGTTATGCATATTGGGTTACAGGTTGCACATAATATTTTTATTGAGGCTCAAACAAAAATGGCCAACTGGCAGCCATTTTGTGTTTTTTTAATGTACATGCTAATTTCTCATTAGCAAAATGGACTGATTTCGTTGAAAGTGCACACAAGCATTATACTTGTTCATTGTTTTTTTGTTGACAAACCATTCCTCTGAGATGAAGGTTGACTTCATTCAAACTTTGTATCAGGATCATGCATATTGGGGCACACATGCACACCATTTTATATCAAGCACATTGTAGCTTCTATTTGGATGGCATGTTCAAACAATACTTCCTGGAATTTGATTGCAACATTACCAACTGGACTAAATACATTGCCAACAATGACCGATCACATGACCGATCACATGACTATATAACCACAAGTTCTTCTTGATCCATATCACTAACAATTCCTGGATCTGATTCAAAATGGCTGTCAACCGTGTTTGTTATCTTCTCCAGAGAGAAAGAAATTGAAGAAAGACTGGCCAGAAGAGAAATGACTTCCAGAGATAGGTCTGAACCAGAAAGACGAGATGCTGGTTGGAGACATGAAGAACGAAAAGATGATGATTCTGGCCCATGGAGAGCTCCAGTGTAAGTGTTTGACTTGTCTCTGTGTATTGCCCTGCACTATTAATTTCCCAGAATTCTCTGCAGTTCATAACTTACTTGGATCCTGTTAACTGTTAGGTCCACAGCCAATGGTAACCCCTTAAAAATTGTACAAAATTGAAAAATTTGCTTTATGTCAGTTTACGTGTGTTCCAGAGGGTGATAAAATTATTCAATTAATTTTAAATCCTTATACAATGACATTTGGTAAACCTCAATGTGTATGTTCCTTTACTAAACGCCATTTTGGACTAAACATTAATGCCTTTTAATACATCGCGGTTAGAAAGTCTCAGTTGATCACTGCTGTCATTTTGTTTTTGAGTTCATCTCCGCAGCAAAAGGTGTTTTGTAGAATTGTATCATTGACAATATAATTTTTTTTCAGGCCAAGTGAACCTGCTAGCGACCGACCAACTCGGGCCTGGAAACCTCCATCCAGGGATGGTGGAGGATGGAGAGCCAGAGAAATGGACAGGGCTGGTGTACAGAGGAGGGATGCAAGATCTCCTCCTTTTCAAGATAGGCCTTCCCTGGATGATGCACCAGCTCGTGACAGGCTACCAGCTCGTGATGAGAGATACAGTGATATAAGACGAGAAGATGGACCTTGGAGAGGGCGGGACGACCTTGACAGACGTGGCCCTCCACCTGAAGATAGAGACAAAGCTTGGGCACGTAAGGACGATCGTGATAGATCTGGTCCAGCCTTAGACAGAGAAAGTGATTGGCGACGAGGACCTCCACCTGATGACCGTGATAGACGACCCCCGCTTGATGACCGTGATAGACGAGGACCTCCGTTTGATGATCGCGATAGACGGGGACCTGATGCATGGAGACGTGATGATCGTGGTTCTCCCAGCAGAGGTCCACCCCCAAGAGATGACAGAGGACCCTGGAGAGGATCTTCCAGAGATGATAGCGGACCTGCCTGGCGTCGAGAAGAACGTGATAGGGGCCCACCTGTGAAAGAAGATCGCTATATTCCACCACGTGGAGATGAAGAGCGAGATTGGCGTAGAGATGACCGTGGACCTATAAGAGATGATAGAGATCGTGAACCTCCAAATGCTTGGAGGCGCGACCGCGGCCCTCTTGTACGCGGTGACAGAGACAGGCCACCGATGCGTGATGACAGAGACAGGCCACCAATACGTGATGACAGAGACAGGCCACCAATACGTGATGACAGAGACAGGCCACCAATACGTGATGACAGAGACAGGCCACCGATGCGTGATGACCGAGACAGGCCACCACTGCGAGGTGATAGGGACATTCGTGGCCCACCAGATGATCGTTGGCGTGACGGACCCCAAAGAGAAAATGAATGGAGACGCGGAGATGACAGACCAAGTGATTCTAGACTACCTCCTAGAGATAAAGGTCCACCACCACGCAGTGACAGAGATGAGAAATGGCAAAGAAGTAGAGAAGAACCTGAAAGAAATAAAGAAGATGACGGTTGGCAAACTGTTTCTAGGCGCTAATCTCAAGTTGGCAGTGATAAATTCTTTGGATACTAAAAGTAAAAAAAAAATTAGAAAATTAAAAAAAGAAATTACTATTGAATTGATATGGTGTTTGCTTTTCCATTCTTCTAGTGTCTGTACTTCTGTGACCCCGAGTCTTCTTGTATATCTAATTATGTCGCAGTGAATTTGGAAATTTCGGGAAGATGTGTAATACTCTGTGGTGGACACAGATCTCGCAAAATGCATAAACTAACTAGACTTTCAGCTTTAAACTTAACATGATCTTAATTTGTATATTTTCACCCACCAGCTGTGTGATAAACACGAAAATCTAAGATCAAAATCTGTAAGCAGATCTGTAAGTTATGTCCCGTCAGTTTGGTTCCAAATTTACTTGATTTTACATACATGGTTTAAATTGACTGTTTAAATTGACAACATAGTATCTTATGTAATGTAACTATATTTTAATTATTCAGTATTGGCTTACAAATCAAAAACGTTGGAAAATGACCAGGTGATCTAACCGCAAGGAACTCTGGGAAGGAGAATGGGTAACTGTGTCAGTAACCGGACGAACCGCAGACAGACACAGCGTGACTTATAATTGAGTTGCCATTGGGATGTTTTGGGTACACATGTCTCTGCAACTCTTTGCAACTAGTTTGTTGGCCCCACAAAGATGACAGAGTGTTAGATCCTATGTGCACCTTGTTCCATCTCCAAGTAATATGCAAATTGCAGCTCATTAATTAGCAATTTTAACTTCACGGGACACGAGTAGTTTTTTCATGATCACTCTAAATTTTCACTACTCTATTTTGTATCTCCGGCAAGTCTCTAACTCATACCCATAATCCTTGATAGGTGATGTGGCTTGCATGTACAATAGTCTGTACCTACTTGTTCAAGCTTCTTGTAAGAGAGAAAAATGTGCATTTTCAGATATTGGGAAAATTGACTAGAGAATTTGAGACAACCAAAATACTGAGTATCTTGGGTAGGTTGTTCAATGATCATTTATGTAAAGTAAATTTTCTCTGTAAATATGCATCTATGATATGATTGGTATATTCACAAATATATATTTTACTTTACATATTTGGTGTGGTTTATCTTCATTGTAAGGTCTGTTTTACAATATACACCATACTACAGCATTTCTTTTTGCATTGACCAGTGATAGAAAACAAGATTTAATGCGATGTAATGACACAATTAATATGACATCATACTATGTCAGAGTGTAATAAAAGTATTCCCAGTCAAAATATCTATTGAAATTTTGTGCATGATTTTAGCGTTCTGGCTGCTTTGAAAACCTGACATTCATTGCTAGTTTGAAAGACAACGTACACATGTTCAAATTGATTTGATATATGTGACGCCAGAGCCCATGAAAATGTGTTTGTTTAAAGACAGAATGAGTGAAAGATAAATCTGTCCTGAGTAAAAATGAAAGGTGGGCTGCACTGTGCAACATCCAACATTTAAACCACTGCCCTGGTTTTAATAAAGAAACTGGCTACCATAATCCAGTATGAAAATTGTACTCCGCAGTGTATCTGGAGTGCTCCCCAAAAGGTCACTTATTGGTATTAGTGCATGGAATGCTTTATTTTTCTGTTGTGTACAATAATGAACAGTTTGTATGTATTTGATATTAGTTTAGCACGATTTAAGGTAGAAGCCTACTCATAAATTAAAAAACCCAGAATTTATTCATTTTGCAATAAATTGTACTCCAAGGCATGGCTTCATGATTGTACATAATAAACTAATGAGCATTGTCATCAGATTTATGACAATTTTTTTCAAAAATTATGACTAGGCTTCTACCTTAAGCACAATTATCACCTAAAAAAAAACATTTTTAACAGCCATGTTAGTCTCAAAATGACCACCACTAGTATATTTAAATAAAAAAAATTGCCCAAATATTGTACCATCTTTGGTTATGTGACAAATGTCTTATTTCTCAAGACAAAAATATAAAAAAGAATTTGCGTTCTCGATAACCATGAACCATACCCAGATAGCTGCGTGTTAGTGACATTTAGTGAAATTTTTCAAACTAATTGGATTGTGGGTAATCACAGCCACCGTGAGCGTGTGATCTGAGGTATAATACAACACGTAGTTCACTATGATGCATACATGAATTGGGTGTGATTTCTATGGATCGTTTGCCCTTTATCCTGTACAGCAATAGTATTTGGTCAACGTGCAGCAGCTTGGACGCTAAATGTAGTTAATGGCCTATCTGGGATCTTGGTTTCTGTAAAAGTTTGTGAGC